TTCACGTCAACAATGATCAATGTTTAAAAAATTAAAACTAATTTTTCAAAATATCGTACGGAATTCATATCAAGTACTCTTAAAAGTTAAAGATACCGTCCATAAAATAATTCGGCCAGTTCGTTTAGAGAATATCAGTTTTGTCGCGAATTCTACGTACTATTTAGCACATACCAAGCCTCTCATACCTGGATTCCCGCTTCTCGTTTCTGGTCGCAGTTTCCGACTGAAATTCATGTCATTTTATTATTTTACAATCGGTCTTTACATACAATTGTGGGGTATAACATACATTTAGAATCTAACTTAACCTAACATATCTACTGTTTACATTTCTAACTGTAATTACATTTACATCTCGAGTTACATTTATGGTCATGGCTTGCTACACCAATTGCCAAAGCAATTGCACTAATTGTCAAAGCTGTGAACAATTTTTACTCACTCGCAACTCGGTTTGCCATTTACCTAACATTATCAAACCCTACTGAAGGTGGGCGTTCTGGACTATAAGCAGACATTCAGAAAGGTTTTGGGAGGGTCGGAGACATACAACAGTAAACACCAGCAGCAATTCCCAAACGTTTCATTGAAACGATATAAATTTAGGTAAAAAGGGTTTCTTTCATTAATAAAAGAATTTATTAGAGTAACAACCAAATTAAAAACACATGAAACGAAAAACACTACTGTATCAATATTGCAATGAGCAAGGCTCATCGCACAAGCGCGACCCTCGAGTCACACTGAGTTAAAATACTTCGAGGCAAAGAGTGCCTCTTTCGCGCATTAGACACACACAGCTGCACACGTGCCGGTATCCCTGCTCGTAACCGCCCCCGAAAGGCACCCTTCCAGCCCTTTGTGCAACAGTGGGTGATGGACGGGCAGAACTGTTGCATTAAGAGGCGACAGCAGCCTACTGTAAATCAAGACCGGCCTATGGAAAACTTCGCATGTAACTTTCCGTTAAATTTTGCGACGGGATAGGTCGGGCATCTTGCGAGAGGGGTGGGAGTGGAAATCGCAGAGGCAAACGGGCGCTGGAAGGTCTGGACAGATAGAAATAGACTATCGAAGTGAGCGGTCGGCTCGGAGATTTGTTTGAAATTTTAACGGCGTCTACCGCCGCACGAGAAACTGGTAATAATCTCGAGCCAGTAATTTCGAGAACTCCATCATCGGAATTTATTCCGAATGTCGGACTAGAACCTTTACGAGGGAGAGTGCAGCATTGTTTCTCGGCTGCTAAACACTACGCGGTCCAGGCGACGTTTGACGATCTGTGACCAGCGCATCAGACGTTGCGGCCTCAACTCCACTGGACTCGGGGCGATCTCCAACTCAACCAGGCGCAGATTCCTGCCGGCTACCGGAGAAGTCCATGGCTGTTCGGCGGGCCATCTGCTGCCACCGACTGCCAATTGAGTGTGTAATCCTTTCGGAGTGAGATTCTACATTCCAGCCATCACATCACTGTAAGTCCGTATATTCAATTAACCGTCGAATGTAGATGATCAACACGAACGATAAATGTGTCCCCGTCGTTTTGGTCGGGTGATTTTACTAGGAAAATGTGTATTTCTTAATAATTAGTTAGTAAACGCAACCTCCGACCCAGGGCGCCCACCCCTGTTGATGTCTCGACGCTGGCGCCCAGATTCAGTTAGGCATACGCTTGGCGCCCCCGTAAATAAATTTAGCGCATGCTCCGGGTATCTGGAAATTACCGTCGCACCTTGAGTGTGACGGCACCCCTATGATAGTGCGACTCACTGCGACACCTGCGACACGAGTATTCACGTCAGCGTGGTCCATTACAATACATTTAAACAAAATACCCTATTCTTTGGCTCTTACCTTTATGTTTTTCTACTTCACCCACTTACTAATAAATCTAATATTCACTAAACAGTATTTACTAAGTTTAAAAGTAACACTTAGGAAATCTTTCCTAAATAAAATTCTATTGATTACTCTTTTGAAGTCAATAATGTGGAATTTAGTTTTGTTACATATTTTAACACGATAACTTGAATCTTCGTAATAATGATATAACATTCCTTTTACTCAGTCTCTTAATAACTCCCTTCTGCGGCCAATCACATCCCAGTTGGTTCTCTTATATATGTGCATTCCCTATCCAGGTTTACCCACGACACGTTCACTCTTATGACCAGGCGCTGAACAACTGCTTCCGCCATACTTCTTCTCGCAAAACTTCTTCACTTTACATCCAGACCTGAGCTGGAGGGCCAAGTGCTATTCAACATCCATTTCCTATAAATCTTCTGCCAACCCAATATTCGTGGCGACTGGAAATTTTAAAACCACATCTTCTTGAGGCTGTTTAAATTGATCTGTGTGTTGATTCTGTTTTACCACACTACGTAGTATTCGTTGATTTTGAAACTACATTTAGTGTACCTTCTGTTGACTTCTAATTTTATTGTCAGAATTTATATTTGTGTGTATGTATGTATGTATGCATGTATATGGAACAATAGGGCCAGGAAACGCTGTTCGTAGGCCTGGGCCTGATTTTATTTATTATCCATGCCTGTCACAAAAGGAGCCACGCGACGAACATGTATTCCGTTCATCGTATCTAGCATAATAGACCTGCATGAAATTTTCTTTCGACGCACAGCTATAGGAACAGACGATTGAAATGGAAACCTACAGATCTATTTTTGACCCGACAGGATATCGAACCAGGTATTCTATCCTGGAAAGCCAGCATGCCGTCCAAGAACATTCTAATGGACTATTTATTTACTTTTTTTTATTAATTTAACGTGATTGTATTTTCGTCCAATTACCTAACAACACATGTGATGTATACAAAACTGAGGTATATCCTCGAACTTTTTGTGCATTGTACCACGGCTCGTTCTGTATAGGACAACTACGGCTCAATTCATTTTTTGGGGGGCCTGCCTTATAGCGACGCACATAAAATATTAAAAAATACCCTAAAGCGAATGTCTTTAACAAGTGATAGACATTTCACCGACAACTTCACAAAAGAATATCTCAGAGAAGTGACTTCATTAGGATGTGCCACCACTTACGAAGTATTTGTCTCCTCCCCCCCCCCCTTCCCGCGTTCAACCAGTCTCCCCGTTCCGTTATTGATACTCGCTATCTCTTCTGTAAGCAGACATAAGAGTGGTAGAGCGCTTATCAATAGATTTCAAACCACATTCGGTTGACATCCGCCACACAGGAATCTATTTTTAAGAATACCCGTTTAAACATTTCTCAGGTGGACCGCAGATTTAGGTGTGTGAGTTCGGATAGTTTCGCAAATATTGTAGTCTGCGACGAGACGTTCCTAGCACGTTCGGGGTATAAATAAGACCCATTTTTGAAGATTGGTTGCGCTGAGAATTGCTCGGCAGGCTTGCATTAGTGGACGTTGGCTCATAAACTCATTAATGCGTATCTGTCAACATTCCAAAACTCACAGGCATCTCTGCATGTTCCAGTATGCAACTCGAGGTTCAGAATACATGTATCGAGCCCGCATTTCGTTACAATGCAACTATGTACATGCAATAAGCATTGAGATATTCTGACAAAACCTGCATTTTGTCTTGACGTATATCATCCGACAATCGATACTGTATGACCCACCCGTTTATTTTATTATTTCCACAGATATTTCTATTTACCAAAATCTCTAAATAGATTCTTGATCAAAATAGGCTCAAGAGATATCCGTATCATAACTAAATTGTGCCTCAATGATTCTGTCTACTCTAATTTTACACACATAATAGATAATATGTACAATTTTATGGCGGACTTAAACTCTTCGGCAAGCACGAAATAGTTTCAGTTGTTTTCCCATCTAATTATATTGCGCTACGTGTTACATATACAGTAGCTTACTATACAGTACTATACAGTGTATTCTGTACAGTATTATTACTGTACAGTACTATAGCTTACAATTATCTGCATGTTTCTGATATAGCACCACAGCATAAAGAAGAAAATATTAATATTTCATTGGTTCCGTCTGGAATAACTGTAAACTATCCATATAATTACTAGATAAAAGACATTGAAATTCCATGTTCAATATTAAGCAAATAAAAAGTGAACCAAAATTAATAAACTGTATTCCCTGATCACTATAACGCAAATCTCAGTGTCAAATACAGAATGTCTCATAATGCTACAAGCTTCATTCCCGAGTAGAGAGATCGATGACGATTACTTTTTACAATGATTATACGGTGATAAATTTCTAATAACTCTCCCTAATTGTTAGGCAGCTTCTCATGCACTGATGTCTAGTAGATGTACTTTGTGACGCACTCAAAGAAATTTGAGTCAACAATGTCCTCCCTTTGTTTAATCGGAGAAACTGCGAAAAGCCTAATAATAATTGAGTCAACAATTTCCTCGTATGTTGCCTAGCATTCCATGGCAACGATTAACAATAAGCTAAAATAAACTGTTCAAAAGAAAGATTTGCGTAAAAAGTTTATTGCATTTTGATTCTTTAACAAAAGTCATACACATCACACATTTGCAACATTTTCAATTCACTGAATTCTTAAGAAACGTTCTCAATACATTTTTATTCAAAACTACAATTCAGTATTCTAAATAAACCATTGTAATATTTTTTAATGAAATACTTCAAATATTTTAACAGATTTCTAGGGATACATAAGAAACGAACAGATTGTATTTTGACTTATTTATCATAGTTATATCTAAGCAAAATTAAAGACATACATAATGTTATTGTTTTAATTATAATTAACAAAATCTGAAACCAAAGCGGTCTTTTCAAAATTCATTACATTGATCTTCAATTAAATGAACAATTATTAAAATCACAAACACGACCATAATTCGCATCATCTTGAAGTTAATAGACAGAAGTTAAATATGAAACACCAGGATACTACAAAAAAGAACTATAAGAATACACTGAACCTTGCTTTCAAACTTTCACTTTTTCATTTTTATCGTTTTCCTTATTTCATCTTCCTTTTCTGCCGAACACGGTATATATCTGTTGCAGGAGGCACAAAATTCTGATCCTCATCTTCACTATCTACAAATAGTGTTTCTTCACGTGGTTGTTGATCTTTCGAGGCTGTTCTAATTTGCGGCTTAGATACCATTCTTCCACCATTTTTCTCCAAAATCCAGAGAGCAGATTTTGCAGTATCAAAAAGTTTTGTGGTACATCCATTATCAATGTCAGGTAAGAGCAAAGTTTCTGGTAGTTGAATCTTTTTAAAGGTTTCTATCATTGCATCAACATCAACGTAAGGACCCCAATAATGTTCAGGAGGAGGTAAAGCTTCACAGAGATGAGCTACAGCAGGAGGAATTTGAAACCCTTCATCACCAGCAGGACAACAACCAGGTAGGGCATTTGATTGAGGCTTGAACGGAATCATTTGGGAAAAATCCGGCCGTGGCATACTAAGAGCGTGTTCATCTAGTTCCAACAAAGTGCTAGTTGTAGAACGATGATATTGTTTATGAGCAGCTATTGCAATTTTCTCATAGCCCATCGCTTTCAGTTCAGCTCTTGTGCATGGATATAAATTAAGAAACTTGTATCTATCCACAAGCATTGCAGTTTGCTTACCTTCAAATTCATTTATTTGTCCCAAGAAAACTCTTCTTCTGTCTTCTACTCTGGTTATACTTTCCATATCACCGTTATTTGTCTCAAATTCGAGAAATCTATTCCATATTAAAACTGATTTTTCTTTCTCAATACTGTTAGAAGACAATATTTGTTCAAACAAAGCCCGAGTGCTAGATTCTTCATTTAAATGAGAAAGATAATCTATATAATACTGAATGTAGTCAGTATTGCCAGGAAACCGTTTCAGTCCCAATTCAAATATCCTAAAGGCAATGTTCTTATCTTTGCTGCAATAATATTCCATCAATGCGGCCGCAACAAACACATGGAATTTTGACCGAGGATCTTCTCTGGAACGCTTGAACACAGTTCGTGCAGATTTCATCCCTTCAGCTCTCCGTGCGAATTTCATATATTGTACATATGCTAGTGTTGGATCAATATCTGGAATGTCAAGAAAACGTTTATAAATTTGGTGAACTTTTTCGTGCTTCAATCTCTCTTCTTCGAAGTCTGCGTACGCAAAAACCAAAAGCATATTTTTCTTTACCCAGGTGGAAGTGGCCCTTTCATAAAATGCTGAAGCTTCATCGCTGAAAGTTTTTCCTGCAGAGAACACTCCTTTTTCAGTTAGTATTTTAGAACTTTTCTCCAAAAAACGCGCAGCATCATACCATATTTCTGGATGGTGTCCCAAGCATAACAAGCACTGTTCAAAAGCAAACACAACTCTTCGAGTCACAAGAGAAATGAATTCAGTTCGTAGAGGATTTGATTTCTCCCAAGCTATATACTTTTTCCATAGTTCTATTTGTTTCTGTTCATCCAGATTTCCTGATGGAGGTATGCTAGGTCTGTTTCTATTTAATCCGCGAGTAATTGCTTCAAATTCCTTTGCGACACGACGTGCATTCATATATTCACGGCCTCGATCACCAACCATTTTCTCCGCTGTAGCTGAGTTGATGCTTTGCTCAAAGTTCACGTAGTCTCTCCAAAGTCTCTCGATATTCACCATAGGACTTACCACGCCTCGTTGATACACTCTCCTAAGGGCTTTTATTTTCTGTTTTTCTGCATAATATCCCGTCGTATCTGCAGCCTTCAGAAAATTAATGTAATCACTCCAAATCGAAAAAGACTGTAAATCATTCCCACTTTATTAATGCATAATCGTAAGCTTGCTTGCCATTATTTCTTTGTACGAGGGATGCACTGACTTACTTTCCTTTACATATGTTCCAATACAATTTCCAGAGCTCTACTATTTACACATCCTGGAGGACTGCGTTGAAAAAGTTTTTCTGCATTTTCAAAATTTCCGTGCTTTTATCTCTTGCTCAATAATATATTTTTCCAATAACGTCCAGTACTAGGAAATGTTGCCACCAACTTTTCGAATACAGGTCTCGTGTCTTCAATTGGTTTTGTTTGGGCTTCTCTAATAATTAAACTCCATGCTTCAAGATCGTATGGATTTGCTTCTATTTGTTTCTGACTGTGTTGCAAGGATTCGATGCTCCATTTTCTCTCATCAAGATCCATGTTTATGAACTTCAACTAAAACAACTTACCAAACAATATGATAGAATGGTTTCCGTCCTCCAGAACGTACTTATTATAACAAAAGATACACGTAGACTACAGGGTAATATCAACAACCTGAAATGTGCGCCTTTCCATGGTAACGAAGACAGTTACGTGAAAATGCACCAAGTAATCAAAGAATGAAACAAAAGAGCCCTGTTTCGATAAATATACTATTAATCAAGAATGTACCAATGAAATGTCTGTAATAAAATAACCCTTTGTAACTAAAAAGCAAATATTGATACAAATATTGTTCAAGGCGATAAAACAAAAATTCGAATTAGAAAGAGCAGATGTTTTATAACATTTGAATATCCTTTTAAATGGAATTTGAAATAAATGTGATTTAAGCTTCATAATGTACATAAAATAAATGTAGTTTCTAATTATTTAGTAGAATGATAAACGAATCGTCAGCTGATTCCGCAATATCCATTTCAACTATTTTCTGATCGCCTTATTTATGTATCATACTAGTAAACATTAACACTAATCTATCATTCAAGAAAATAATTTTAATAACACTGCTTGGCACCATTTCCTTTCTTTTAGTTTTCTTGAAATATACAATTGTTCAATATCACATATTATTGAGTTTCTGCACACACGTAGAGATTAATTAAACTATTAGATTAATTCCCATTATATGCGAGTCCAACTTTTTAAGGAATATTTTTTCAATCAAACACCTCGATGATTTGTGGCAATGCAATATAACTTATGTCCATTTTTAGGTAATTTAACAAAACTGGGTGAATGGGCAGGAGGGGAGAAAAATGTAATTTCTATTATTTTCTCTTTCATTTGTGAAGAGGAAAGAAAACATTCACAAGATAATTAATAATTTTTCATCCCGCACTATCTGGACATCGTCAAAGCTGTGTAAATAATCTCCTTTTATACCAAATTTTCGTTTAATTATTTGAATTAATAATAATGTTACTTAATATTTAAATCATTATTATTATTATTATTATTTATTATTATTATTATTATTATTATTATTACGAACTGAGATCCCTTAAGGGCAAGGGCAATGTGTAACATACGTATAACAATTTCGTAAGGCTGGATAAATATAAAAGCTTTATAATATTTAACATTTAAAATAATTATTTTTCATCTATTACGTTTTTAAATGTTTTAAATATTTTTTATTAATTGCGTTAAGGGAAAATAACTTAATTGGCGGAAGGTTCGATTTTGTAATGCTAATGATTCATAGAAGTAACCAACAGCCCCACACCCACACAACAGAAAATGCAAAATGATTGAAAGCGTGAATGCCTCATATTGCTAAGTCACCGTAAAGAAAACTAACCACCAAGAGCTGTTAGATAGTCCAAACATCTTTTCTAATCAAATGTAACCACAGATAAAAGAAGTATTCCCAAATATGAGGACAAGTACCCCAGTGGTTATGAAGTTTTTTTGCCACATATAAACATACAAAACTTCACTTCCATAGAATAAATACAATCTCACACTTCCTATGCAAAGGTAAATTACTATATATGACAATTATTCTTAAAATCCAAGTGTGAATAAAATATAGTATAGTGGATTTAGACAATGTTCTTTATTCACATTCTTTTGCTATACTATGTTGCAACAGTCGCGAATATAATGGACATCACAATTTAATATTCTCTATTTATAAAAATAATAGTACGTCAGTGAACATCTTCCCAGTAATTCTACAGCATCGAGCTACCAGCAGAGCGACAGAAGGTCGAGCGCATTTAGCAGGGACCTGGGGGAACCACAATCCACGAGTAGTTCTCTGCGGTGTTGCTTCGCCCACGATATACATATTGCATTGCACCACGGCGCGCGTGTCAGCGGCCGCCATATGCAATGCAGATGGCGCGCGGCCCGACGATGCGATTACAGCGCTCAGTTCCCCCGCGGCCACCGACAGAATCAATTAGAATAGCCGCAGACGAATCGTTGGCGGCGCTATGCAAATATACCATGCAAAACGTTCTGCGGAATACCGTAAAATGCTTTATTTAGATGGCCAGTAGGAAGCGGGTTTGATGTTAATATGTTCTAGATTCGACTCAAGTTAGAAAAGGATAGTGAAGTTATCTTTCTAATTTATTCAAACTTTGCTTCAGAAATATTGCAGCTAATAGCAATTATTAAGAGAAACAAGTTGGGAGGTAGATGCTGTTAAACGACATTCTAATTGTCGACGCTCAAACTTTTAATAGGGAACGTTTAAGACGGAACAGATTTTGCAATTAGAGCTAAAATTAGAAGGTTTGGATCATCTTTATTTCAATTTAGATATCACAATAAAATAATAATTATTGTTATGCTCTTAATATTATCGTATATTTTACCACTATAACAATGTTTTTACATTATGAAACATTGATAAAATCATAATGTTTACTGTAAATAATTTACATTTTTATTGGCAAAGAAAGTGAATTTTTTCTTTACTTCAAATATTAACTGAGAAATTAAATTTGATTATGAAATAAAGGTTTCTATATTGTTTCAGGATCAAGATTATTAAGGTTCTTCGGGCTTAAGTGTATAATGTCGCAAAGGCGAAAGAAAGAGAGGAGCGATAGAGTAAATGACACGTTATTTTGTGCATGTTTTTCTTCGTCATTTGCATGAACGGTTTTTTTGCAAACTTGATATTAGATCAAATCATCCCTAGAGTCATTGAAGAATTATTTTTACTATTTATATCAATAATTTTTTTTCCAAGGTTGCTGTGCTGTGGTAGGTTATTTCCTCTCGCGAGTACGACATCCGCGTTTGACCCTAGTTGACCTAGTTTGACCTCCGCGGTCGTGAGCCCGCAAAGCGCGAGGTTACAGTATGTAACGTAAATATAAATTTTACATACATTTATTATATTGCATATTCTAGTCAAAGGATTATTTTATGTATTCAAAGTTATAAATTTGGGGCATAAAATAACGAAGGAGTTTGTCTATTTCTTTTAGTGAGAATATTAAACCATAATTCACCCAGCAATGGAGGGTCAGGACTAGTACCAACAAAGAATTTATGAATACGTGTTATACTATTTATCTATCTCCGAGATTTTAAAAGAAGAAATATTCATTAATATCAATTTGTAGTAAAGGTACATAAGTGGATCTGGTAAAGTGGTAAAAGTGATATAAAAGATTGTCTAATGTTTTATTCAGAACTGGTGTCCCTACAGAAAAAAATCATATAAAATGAATGTCTAACTGATGATAAATATAAGGTTTCCAAACTCTCCCTATATGTATTTTTACATGTTTTATGTTCAATAAATAAACACGGTAGACTTATAAGAATACATTACTAAGTAAAACAAGAAAATAGGCGGAAATAGGGGCACTCTGGAAATAAGCTCTTCACTTGAGCCACCTTGCTCACAGCCAAATCGCGAGGGCGTTTGCAGCGCCAGCGGGCGTGAATCTGACGTGAGCGTGAGCCGGGAGGCGCGAGGCGGCTCGAAAAAAAACGCTCGCGTCTCGAGTCGCGGGAGCTCGTTATCGCGGAACGACGCGTCGCGACGCCCTTGCGGCGCAATGGCGGACGCGTCCCCGCCCTCCTCCAGAGCGTCGTTCGTGGCGCCGCTGGGCGCCGCGAGCCCGCGCCCGCATCGACACAAGCAGCTCGGCGTGGAAGCAGCTTCGGAAATTTCTTCGTGGACGTGGATACTCTGGTGTTCAGGAGGTAAGATGAAAATCTGTCGCTATTGTAACGAGTCAAGTTTCATTGTGTACTACAGTGTAAAATATATATTAATACTTAAACTAATGTTTGTTGTTGGCAAATGAGCGCGTCAAGTTAATTCAATTTGTGCCACGCTTCGAACACCGTCAGTTTCGTTACTCTTTGAGGCATTTACGAAGGAATCATACATTTCCCGCGTCCAGAATTGCTCCAAAAACCCGCGAATACTCTCACTAACAGCAGAAAATTCATGTGACATGAAGTTTAGAAGGTGTCCAGAGCGCCCACAACGAAATGTTACCCATTGTCATATTTCCTGGAATCTAGTTTTTCTACATAAGATGCGATATGATCGCTTTGTTTGAGAATTTGGAGCTGCGGGCAGTTTTGTAGCAATCGAGCAGAGCAGTTAAGTAACACGTGTATGGAGTGCTCTGAAAGTTTTGTTAGGCACGTGGCAAGCAAGTCTCATCACATTAATGCAGTCTCCGTGGCCCTCAAACTCTGGTAGATGTGGCGAAACAGCAGCAACATGATTTAACAGATAGAGTTTGTAAGGAGAACGTTTCATTTCATTCAGACAAAGGTAACCATGACAATCTATTTATGATTCAAACGGCAAAGGTTAATCTTGGCAAATATGAGTCGTCTTTTCAGAACCTTCTCGCCTGACAGAACACAGAAAGACAATATACAGAACTTCGCAGTCGCATTTCTGCAAATGCTCTTCCA